AGAACTATTCAGTTTGTATATTATGTGGATTCTTTGAATTTTCTTTTCCTTTTGGCCAATGTAGCAGTAGGAAAAATAACAAAAATTGTGTTTAGCCTAAGTCTTTGCAGTTGTGGATTCAATTTTACAAAGTCTTGGGAATGGGCGTAGCTTGCTGACTAAAAATGATAGCCATGCTTATCTATGAGTTTCGATTATTTTGATATTCTTTCTCTTTGCTTCTAAAACAGTCTACATAATAACAATTATGCAGTAATAATTATGTATTTATAATAAGTAATAATGAAGTAATAATATAGTATTGATAATGTGAGAATTATGTACTTACATTAATTTATAAGTTTTTCATATTTTCCTCTAGCTCTTTTAAACAATAGCAGAATTCTATGCTTATATATGTGCTTTGCAGACAGCAGCCTCCCTACATTGCAGGATATGAAAAGTTATCCTTCAGTGCACATCTCAGAGGAGCAGTAAAACATTCAAATTTATATATTAGCTATTAAAGACTAAATGATTGTCCTGGAGACCCTCTTCATATGGGAAGAGTAGTTTTCATGAATCCAGAAGAGAAGAATTTGACGAGAGCATACTTAAAAGACAACGGAAGCGACATGTTTTATTACAGTGGCAGTCATGGAAAGTGCTCTTTATAAAGTGAAATGCCAAAGTCTGCAAGGAATTTCACCACCAATGGGCTTCAGAGAACCAACTGTTGCTTTTGCACTGAATACTGAGTTCCGTGTTTATGGCAGAAAATACACAGGGAATTACATTTCTGTTGAGGTGCCTGGTTTCCATTAGTAATAAGGAGACTTATGTATCTAATTCCTGGACTATCTCATTGATAATATATCTTAAAAACCAAATTTATTTGAAGTGTATTATAAAACTATACGAATTGGTTTCTCACCGTGTGTGGCTTGTCATGATTCATATTTGAAGGAAAAGTCAGGAGTAGTTGAGGAAAATATCAGCAAAGGAATTTAGATAAATTATAGCTTATTTAGACTGTAAATAATGTATATATTACACGTATTTCTAGCACTTTTATTCCATTTACAATGTGCAAAATATAATGCTACAATTCTTGGAGAAGCTCTTAAGAGAACAGTTACTGAGGAAATGTATTATAGTAAATTATTAAAGTCTACTTTTTATTAACTGTTTTATCTTAATGGGAAAATATCTCTATTACCTAAATTGAGATCAAAGACAGAGAGATACCCTGCATGCAGGAGATGGCACATAACAGGGCCACTCATTGCAGAACTTTATTTTAGTTTTGATTAATTACTCACTGAGCATAAAAGAATGTGTGCATGCTCATAAGAGTGCTTATTAAAGTTCCCTCTTACCATTTTATTCTGAGACACCCTTAGGGGAAAAGTAAATATCAGTACCGAAGAGAGATATTAAAAGGAAACAACAGTGGTTGCTGCTAATTGATATAACAAAATCACAAATTATTATAAAAAATTATTTTTTTATAAACAAAAGCAACAATTCCCCCATCTAAACAAACAAATACAATCTCCTGCAAGAATTTAATTTATGTCAACATCCCATATAAAAAAGCCACTTGTCATTGATACAAAATTAATTCAAATCTAGTATCCTTAACATACAATAATATCAGAGACCAACCATAGTGGTTGCTATAGCCCCGTACGACAATCAAGACCCCTAAACTTCTGCTATAATTTCTTATGCTAAACGATGTGTTGTCTCTGAATGGATAGCATCAAAAAGAAATCTACTCAAGTAACACAGTTTTCTGATGTGAAAATTGATGTGAAAATGTTGCTTCTACATATTGGTATTTGTAATATTTTCACAATTTAGAAAGTCCTTTACTTCAGGGGAACTACATATAAAGTTTAACTAAAGCTCAAGTTTGTATTAAAGAAGAAGGAAACTGCCTATCAGGAGAGGGCAAGAAACTCAGATCTCAACTCATTACAGCCCAATGATTTACTCTAGGAAACTGGATCACTTACACAAACTACTGTACACCCATTGTGAGCAGAACACTTACCCGCTTTTCTGTCATGAAGTCTTTTGTAGCTTTCTGGTAAAAGACAGTTTGTATTTTGTGGAAACCTTTCAGTATATGGTTTTAAATGAATCTGCTCACAAGGTTCAAAAGCTTTAAATTACTAGACCATGGTTACCATTGAGAAAACTCACTGAGCTATATCAAAGAAAGGAAAAAATAACCAGGTACAAGTTTAATTTTCTAGGGTTGCCATGTAAGTGCTGCTCAGAGAGGATTAAGACTTCCTGAGAATAAGAGAGCTCCCAAACAAATCACTTCCGAAGCCAGAGAAACACATACACACTCTATAATCCATTGTTCTTGGCCTACTTTATCCTGGTAGCAAATTCTCCGTGTTTAAAAATACAGAGATTCTGTATTTCAGAATACCTTCATCTACCTACTTTTCCAGAAAAAATAAAATCCTATAAAATTCCATTGCTTTTATCTGATCAGAGAGTATGAAAATCAGACCAATTATACTTTTTTGCAATTCTTTATATATGACTAATTAATGGAGGTTAATATCAAAATAACAGTCTGCAATTTAGCCTAAGTGACTTACTTTATCAAGACAAACAAACTGTGTATTTTAAGAAGCCTTTATGCCCAGAGATGTTTACAGCCCTGGGACTTACCTTTTCTTCTTTACAGAGGTATTCAGTTTGCTTCTGGCACAGAAATTCTAAATCACTTGGTCTTAAAGGAACAGGAGGCCTACAATAAAATAAATAAAAAATATAGTTGGAAGAATATTTTATCAGATGCTTTATAAAAATAACTTTAATTCTGAAACTCTTTAAAAATTGAAAGCTACATTATGACAAGTTTTTACTTTTTGTTGATGTGTAAAAACTACACAGATTAATAATTATATATACAATTATATAATTAATAATTATTGATGGCATGCTGGCAGGCTATCTGAGCAGTGCATTAAGCAAAAGTTTATTTCACATGTCCATTTAGTCTTTTTGCATTTTTTTCTTAGTAATTTAGAAGGAAAAAATTATATGGTTTATTTATCTTTACAAAAAGTGAAATGTTAAGGTGTTTTTCTTAGACCTGCCACCTTTTCCATCTTGTTTAAAGCTCTTCCTGTTCCTCTCCTTGGAGCTAATTCTAATTACATGTTATATACATTAGATCAAGAGTAGGGGCACCTTATAGCGCAAAGTTGCCTTAATCACAAGGTAAACTTACAAATATTTGCATCTGGTAATGTTGGAGAAAAAAGTACCCAGACACTATTTTTGTAACCATTTATTCAGTTTAAACCACAATCACAGCTAAAAAGAAATCAATCACTGGAATTTCTCATTAGAATCTCTGTCCGCTGACAGTTTCTAGGTGTCAAACAGTTTCTCCTTTTCTTTCTCACTTTCTTGTCAGACTTAAGAGACAAAAAATGAATAGAAATAGAAAGAAATAAAAAACCATGAATGACTTACAAGATGTAAAGACTAGAAGTCAGTTATTTTTATGTTTGAACCTTGACTGAGAGAAAATCAATATAGTTGTCAGAAAAAGACAAATTATGAAAGAGCTAGTTTTTTTTTAAAGAATGTGTCTGCATTTGGTGTTTTTTTTTTTTAACAACTCACATGAGAAGTTTGATAAATATCTGGTTAATACATTTGGTAAAAATTTTAAACCAGAAGGTCGAGAGTCATGGAATGGATGTAAACTTGTGAAGAGAAGCAGACAAGCTGGTTTACACCGCAGTAAATATCCTCATACAAGGTAGCAAGGTGTGAAAGGAGAAAGGAATACAGGGAGAAGGAACGGAAGTGGGTTAAACCAGTGACTATGGAGTGGCTGGGGATAGTTTTTGAGCAGAAAAATTGGCGATCAGTGTTGGATGCAGTAAGTGGGTCTGAGAAACTGAGAATTATTCAAAGGTCACAGAATTTCACTTTTGAAAATACCTGTAACTTCTGAAACAGCTATTTTGGTCAAATACAGAATAACAGAGTCAGATAAATGGAGGAATGTTGTTAGATCATAACCAGAAGATAGAAAAGTTATTTCAGATAGAGGAAATGTTTTTTGGTGATGATTTTGTTTTGGGTTCAGGATGAATCATGAAGAGCGCTAATTCTAATACTTTGGGAAGCTGAAGCAGGAGGGTCATGAATTAAACCAAGCCTGGGTGACTCGATGATTTAGTGAGACCCCGTTGTCAAATAATAAGTGAAAAAGGACTGGAAGATATAGCTCAGTGTGAAGGCCAGGAATACACACACTCACACACACACACACACACACACACACACACGCACTTGCACACATACAAAGAGTAATGTAAGAGAAAAATAGCAGGTACCACATAAAAGAGGGTGCAGAGGGGTAACTAAAGTCAAGGGTAGGTGGAAGGTTGGCTGGTAAAGGCGGGGGCATGACATTTTATTTGAGGTGCCAGAGAAATCAATTTTTCAGAAGGGGCATGGATGGACTTGGTGATTTGAGAAATGGAAAAGTGTACAAAAAGATCAAGCAGCTGCTTGGGGATGTGATGTGTTAAAAAGAAAGGAATATAGAAGATGAAGTAGAAATCCAGGGAGCATAGAGACCAAGCAGGAATTAGGAGTAGTAGATAAATTGGGCTTATCTTGCATGTAGCTGGAAGTTGTCTCATACTTTTCTTCAGAAACTCTGTGCCACCAATTGAGAGAATAAAAGGCTGGATTAATGTAAGGTGGGGATTTACTGTGAAAAAAAAAGTCCAAAACAAAAAACTGGAAATGCATATAGACCTAAGAAAGAGGAGAGGCGTAGATGGCTTCAGAGACCGGACCAGATAATTCAGTGACTGATTAGATCTGCCCTTCCTCCCCCCCATTCTCTTCCACACTCTTTTCATTCCTTCCCTCTGTCTCCCTCACTCCCTCCTTTCTATTTTTAATTTATGAATTTGTTCAACAGATATTTACTGAGTTTTTTTTTTTTCTTTTTCTTTTAGGCATTATGCCAGATAAGGAAGAGAAAGTGGCTCTAAAATCAAGAATTTGTGGAGGGGATGAGGGTCCCTTCCAGTACTTACTTGGTAACACTTGTCTCTCCCAGACTCTCTCTCTGTGTATGTATATCATTCGTGTTTGTGTGCATAGATCATTCCTGTTTGTCTAATCTCTCACATTAATTTATCTGATTTCTTTATTAACATTGTGGGAAACAAAATAGGATTCTCTGTCCGTCTGTCCCTTTGTCTTTCTGTCTGTTTCTCTGTCTATCTCTCTCTGTCATATATATATATATATATATATATATATATATATATATATATATTCAGTATTTTCATTTTTAAACCTTCATCTTCCTTCAGACTGATGGCTGTGTGTCTAAAAATGCTGTTTTTCAATGGTCCTGTTATTGTATAGACAATAACTGCTATAGCTGAACCCAAATGAAGGGAGCTTTCTAAAATAAATCAAGGGATGGCAGAATGGATGAGTCATTCTGAAATTAGAAATGGTTTCTTGAGCAGAAGAAAAGTAATTCAACTCTGGTATGTGGCAATCTAAGCCCACAGATCAGTATTTCTTTATTGGAGGTAAAAAAAAAGCATCTTTAACTAAGAAAACAGGATTCATATGCACTTGTGTTCCAACCACTGTGGGCTGAAAGGCAAGTAAGTGAGAGGTGGAGAAAGACTCTGGTGGTGTTAGAGTTCACATAGCTCCTGAAACTTCTGGCTTGGAGGAAGCATTCCAGGGCTTCCTGAAAGTTGGATTGGTTTCCACCTCTTAAAACCTCTAGTGTAGGGAGACTTTCAAGATGGTCTTAACTCAGCACAGGTCTTAACCGAAAGTTGGGGCGGAGTGTCCAGAGTGCAGGCTCACTTGTAATTGTTGAAGGAGCATAAGGCCTGGTCTAGCAGGAATGTGATAGGTGGAAGTGTGAGGCTTGACCCTCACACTAATTCGTGATGCTCTCAGAGCCGCTAAGCTTTGGATCACTGGGGCTTCTGATGCTGCTTGCCTGATCATGTGTAAGATGATTAGAGGAGAGTACTAGCGAATGGATTCCAACTCTACCACATAAAAGCTGTATCCATATAACCCAAAAAACTCAAACTCTGTATGCCTTAATTGCTTCCTCTTTAAAAAAGGGATAACATGATCCTGTAAGTTTGTCCTAAGAGTGAGTTAACATTTGCCAAGCACTTAGAAGAGGGCTAGGTAATTTAAAATTGAAATTAGAATTATAATTTATTTTTAAACATTTAAAAATGCTAATTTTAAAATACAGTAAATTTTAAAATAATTTAAAATTCTAAGTTATATTTGTATTTATGAGTGAAAATACGATAGTTTTGTCCTAGTCAGCTCAACTGATTTATTTTTAAGACCAGGAACAGAATTTGTCTTCTTAAGAGGAAATTTTAAATAAATTTTTGTGAAAGAGTGCTTGAGATTGACTGGAATCATTGAAACTGATTATATTCTTCCAGAGCCAAATAGTTTCTCAATTAGCACGTCCACCTTGAGGCAAATGAGACAGGATAGAGCAATGCATTGAAAACACTCATGAAATGTCAAGCTAAGCTGGAAAAATATAATGTTAGGTGTTTTTGTTACTAGGTTTTAAAGATGATTAAAATTGTCTTAAATCTTCAGTGTCTTTATGTAGTGAATATGTCCTATGCTCCCCACCAAGTTTCAATTTTATCTTGAAACAAACCACAGTGAACATAACAATAAGATGTAGATTCTTTCTGTGTAAATTGATTAGTTTAACACCATAGGAAAAAATGTATGCAGACAAAATTTAAATATGCCAGTGAAAATAGGCAAATAACATCATTCAAGAAAAGTTGCTGCTCTGCTCATGAGGTGGCAGCTCACTCCTGTGTAAAAATTATTGAACCCTATTGTGCGGATACCAGACAATTATGTACAATGAAAATCCAATTGATATGAAACTTTGGTTACAAAATCCAGACTAGCATCTAAAACTGTTCTTGCAACACATCTGAGAGGAAAGTTTGGAGGTGGAGATAATATGAATTATAGTTGCATAGAATTATAGCATATAGAACTCTATTTTTTAAAGTATCATTAAAGAACATATAAGGGAGTAAATCACTTTATTATTAAAAAGTGTATAGTATGCAAGAGGAAGAAACAGTTTAGATTATAGCACTTTTTAACACATCATGAAATAAGCTGGCAAAATTCCCCTGAGCTCTGTTGACTGTCAAAACCATTTCAAAAAGCAAATTGAGCTTGTTATAAAAATATCTGCAAGATAAATAAACCAGTTCAATAAAATTGTGATGGAAAAGTATTTAAGACTTATTTAACTTGTAAAATGTATAATATTTCTTGGTGCTAGTTGCCATTTTAATAATCAGATCACACATAAGGAAGGCAGGTTGAGGCTTCTATAGAAGGTTTTTCCAAATTTGCTCCTGTAGTCCTGCTGCAGTGATGAAACTAGATGCATAAGATGCCAGATTCTTTGAAAAGTGTTAGTACTTATTTATTCATTCTTTTATTCAGAATATGTGACTGTATGCATATTATATCAGGTACTATTTTAGATTTGTGGAATATAATGATAAATAAGACCAGATATAGCCATTTCTTTCATGTAGCTAAGACAGAAGTTAACCAAATTATGTAGCAGAGACAGATGTTAAATTGTAAGTACATATCATAGTGTGTATATAGCAATGGTAAGCATTGTAAGACCATGGAGCAGAAAGATGTGAGAGGGCCTAAGGAAGAAAGGATCCAAGAGGAAATCATATTTTGAACAAGAGATATGGAACTTGATAGAATCCATGTATGCCCAATGGAGCCAAAGTGAGAAATGTGAGTGAAGAATCTTCCAGAAGGACAGCTCATATAATGCTCTTTGATAGAGTGGAGAACAGGAAGGCCAGCGTTGGGGAACTCAGAGCTATCAATGAAGCAGGAAGCTGAAGAGTCAAGAGGAACCCTGGTTGAGTAATGGCAGTGGAACACAGTGAGGATTTTAATTTTTACCCTGAGATTAATGAAAACCTTTGAAGGGATTTAAGCAGGATACATCATGGTCATGTCTGTGTTTCTGGAATATTACTCTGACCATAGCTTGGAAAAGTAGGAGGCTCACTGGAAACTGCTGCTATAGCCATAGCAGAGGCAAGAAAAGCATGAAAAACAGGATATTGATTCATGCCTTTAATCCCAAGCGCTTTGGGAGTCTGAGGCAGGAGAATGGCAAATTTGAGTCCTGCTCAGGCAATTTAGAGAAATACTGCATCAAAATAAAAAATTAAAAAAGGCAGGAGTAAGCAAAGGCCCTTGGTTAGAGAGGGAGAGAGAGAGGGAGAAGAAGAAGGAGAGGGGAAAGGAGAGGGGCAGGGAGAGGGGGAAGGAGGGGAGGGGGAAGGGGAGAGGGGAGGGAGGAGGGGAGGGGGGAGGGGGAGGGGGAGGGGGAGATTCATGACAGAAAGCCCTAAAAGGGTTCATGTAAAACTTAGCAGGTAAAATTGATGACAGTAGCCAATAGATAATGTCATGTGATATGAAATGCACAGAATTCTGAGTTCTGTTTAATCAGTAGTGAGTTTCAAAATTTGTTTTCATAATTCTAAAGATTTAAAACCTAGTTTGTTGCCTATCCTGAGGAAAAATGGTACAATTAAAACGGCAAGTGATACCAAAAAATGTTATTAATTTTGTTGATTGAAATAACATTACTTAAATACTTTACAGCCACAATTTCATTGAACTAATTTGTTTATCCTGCTATTTTTAATAACAAGCTTAATTAGCTAATTTGGGTGGTATCACCCTGATTTCAATTGCATGTAAAACAAAAGTAATGAAATTTAAACTTTGGACACAACATTAACAAATCACTGAAAGGATAAATCAAATTTTGAATTATTTCTTTAGAAACATATTTACAGATAAGCCAATCTTTGAAACTTATAATTGCAGAGTATCACATGATGCTATACAGTGGATTTGAAAGATGTTTTCAGCCAAACAATGAAGATTTAAATTACCTGGGGAACCTGTTAATTAACTTCCTCCACCTTGCATATTTATTGAATCTGAAGGATGTGAGCAGTTGTTGGATGTTAAGAATGATCCAACTAACACTCAGTTTTTTATTTATTGTTTAAACTTATGTAAGTTTGGTTTTAATATTAAAAATTAAACATTCAACTTCAATATATTTTATTGTTATAACTGTTCATACAAAAATAAGGATAATATAAAGGACATTTAAAATGTTCCTTGTGTATTTATAGTTTTACAAATAAAGTAACAGTTCATTTTATAAGTCAGTTACATCAAGGCTCAGTTATCATTGCATTTTTAAAAAGAAGGCTAAAAATAAAGCTACTGCAAATTCCTTTTTTTGGAAGAAGGTAGAGTATAAAAAAAAAAACCCTGCAAACATAAGTATGTAAATAGCCAGCACATCCCCACAACAGGTAGCAAATATTTACGCTTTTGAGTTCTCTGCTCCACTATTTATATTTTCTACCCTTTATCTTCATCATGAAACTTTCATCAGATGGAAGTATTTAATCAGACATTTAAAAAATTCACTTTCTTGTAAACAAAACAAATACAAAGCAAAACACTAAGTTTAATCTCCAGTGCCAAGGATTTTTTCATTTATTTTATTAATTATTATTCTTTTGTAAAGAAGTATTGTATGCTTCTGAAGGGAAAATGTTCCCTTTAGAATTCTTGATTCCGTATTTTCTTTGTGACTGATAGTTAACCTTTTGGATATTAGTTTTTCGCCCAATCTAGAGTTTACGTTTGCTATTTTTCTTCACTTTCAGCAACACACTTAAACAATAGAGCATATAATCATGAGTGCATTATTGCAATGCTTTCTTACTATGGAATAAAGTAACTTGTCAGTCCTTGCAGTAAAGAATTAGTTCTTTGGATAGAAAGTGCCTGCATTTTAGACTCTCCTAATTCCATTACCTTTGTGGATCTTGGAATGTTTATGAATTATTTTATTATTAATACATCGTATTCATAGGAGTTTGACAATCCAAAGATTACACTTCAGTGGATTTTG